TCTTTACCTGGTTTTGGTATCAGGGTTATGCTGGCTTCATAGAATGAGTTTGGGAGTATTCCATCCTTTTCTATGCTCTAAAATACCTATAGTAGTAGTGGTGTTAACTCTTCTCTGAAAGTTTGGTAGAAGTCTCCAGTGAAACCATCCAGGCCAGGGCTTTTTTTTTGTTAGGAGTTTTTTAATTACCTTTTCAATCTCTTCTTCTGTTATAGGTTTAATTAGTTGTTCTACCTCTGATTGTGTTAGTTTAGGTAGGAAGTGAGTTTCTAGAAATTTATCCATTTCCTCTAGATTTTCAATTTTGTTAGAGTACAGTTTTTCATAGTATTCTGTTATGATTCTTTTAATTTCAGTTGAGTCTGTTGTGATATCGCCCATCTCATTTCTTATACAGGTTATTTGCTTCCTCTCCTGTTTTTCTTTTGTCATTTTGGCCAATGGTTTATCGATTTTGTTGATCTTTTCAAAGAATCAGCTTTTGGTCTTGTTAACTCTTTCAATTGTTTTCTATTCTCGATTTCATTTAATTCTGCTCTAATTCTTTTTATTTCCTTTCCGCTGGCACCCAAGGGCTTCTTGTCCTGCTCTCTTTCTACTTGTTCAAGTTGTAGGGTTAATGTTTTGATTTTGGCTCTTTCTTCATTTTGGATGTGTGCATTTGTTTGTATAAAATGACCTCTGAGCAGTGCTTTTGCAGTGTCCAAAATGTTCTGGTAGGATGTGTTTTCATTCTCATTAGATTCTATGAATTTCTTTATTCCATCCTCAATTTCTTCTATAACCCAGTTGTTTTTGAGCAAGGTGTTGTTCAGTTTCCATGTGTTTTATTTTTTTTTCCCTCACTGTTTCTATGATTGATTTCTACTTCTATGTTTTTACAGTCAGAAAAGATGCTTTGTAATATTTCGATGCTTTGAATTCTGTTAAGGCTTGCTTAATGGCCTAGTATGTGGCTATTCTGGAGAATGTTCCATGTGCGTTGGAAAAGAAGTATACTTGGCTGCTGTTGGGTGGAGTGTTCAGTATATGTCTATGAGATGAAGTTGGTTGATTGTAGCATTTAGCTCTTCCGTGTCTTTGTTGAGCTGCTTTCTGGATGTTCTGTCCTTCAACAAAAGTGGTGTTTTAAAGTCTGCTACTATTATTGTGGAGCTATCTACGTCTCTTTTCAATGCTGTTAGAGTTTGTTTTATATATTTTGGAGCTCTGTTGTTGGGCACGTAAATATTTATCATAATTATGTCCTCCTGGTGTATTGATCCTTTAATCATTATATACTGTCCTTCCTTATCCTTTATGGTGGATTTTACTTTAAAGTCTATTTTGTCAGAGATTAATATTGTCACTCCTGCTTCTTTTGAGCGTTGTTTGCTTAATATATTTTTTTCCATCCTTTGAGTTTTAGTTTGTTTATGTCTTTAAGTCCAAGGTGTGTCTCTTATAGGCAGCATATAGACAGATAGTGTTTTTTAATCCAATCTGCCACTCTGTTTCTTTATTGGTGCATTTAGTCCGTTTACATTCAGAGTAATTATTGGTAGGTATGAGTTTAATGCTGTCATTTTGATGTCTTTTTTTGTGTGTTGTTGACAGATTCTTTGTTCCACTTAATTTTCTGTGCTGAGTCATTTTTCTTTATGTATTTTCTTTTCATCTTTTTCATTGTTGTTGATTTTGTATTTGCTGCGTCTTCATGTTTTTCTTCTTTTTTATTTCGATGTGTAGAATTGTTAGTTTGCTTTGTGGTTACCTTAATATTTACCCTATTTTTCTAAGTTTCAACCACTCTTTTATTTCTTTATATCGCCTTGATTTCCTCTCCATATGAAAAATCTGTCTACATTTTTTAGTCCCTCTTTGTTGTTTTAATGTTGTCGTCTTTTACATATTGACATCTCTATTTTCCTATTTTCAGCGTTTTAGCTTTGATTCGTTTTTGTGTCTTTCCTATCTGGGTTCGTATCTGGTTGCTCTGTCCTGTGTTCTAGTCTTGGATTGTTATCTGATGTTATTTATTTTCTAACCGGTGGACTCCCTTTCGTATTTCTTGTAATTTTGGCTTGATTTTTGCAAATTCCCTAAACTTCTGTTTATCTGGAAATGCCCTAATTTCACCATCATATTTGAGAGACAGTTTTGCTGATATATAATTCTTGGCTGGCAATTTTTTTTCTTCAAGGCTTTATATATGTCATCCCATTTCCTTTTTGCCTGCATGGTTTCTGCTAAATAGTCCGAGCTTAGTCTTATTGACTCTCCTTTGTAGATGACTTTTTGCTTAACCCTAGACGCTTTTAAAATTGTGTCTTTATCTTTGGTTGTGGCAAGTTTGATTATAATATGTCTTGGTGACTTTCTTTTGAGATCTACCTTATGTGGGGTTGGATGAGCATCTTGAATAGATATCTTCTCATCTTTCATGATATCGGGGAACTTTTCTGCCAACAAATCTTCAACAATTCTCTCTGTATTTTCTGTTATCCCCCCCACCCCATTCTGGTACTCCAATCACTCATAGGTTATTCCTCTTGGTAGAGTCCCACGTAATTCTTAAAGTTTCTTCATTTTTTAAAATTCTTTTATCTGATTTTTCCTCACATAAGTTGGTGTCAAGTGCTTTCTCTTCAGTCTCACTAATTCTGACTTCTACTGCCTCAGTTCTGCTCCTGTGACTTTCTATTGAGTTGTCTAATTCTGACATTTTATTGTTAATCTTCTGTATTTTTGATTGCTGTCTCTCTATGGATTCTTGCAACCTATTAAATTTGTCATTATGCTCTTGAACAACCTTCTTATGATCCTCTGTTGCTTTGTCTGTATGTTCCTTAGCATGGTCAGCATTTAACAGCAGCTCCTTCCTGATCTCTTGAAGAGTTCTGTATATTAATCTTTTGTATTCCACCTCTGGTAATTCCAAGAAATTCTCTTCCTCTGGAAAATTTCTTGATTGTCTGTTTTGGGAGTTTGCTGAAGCCATCATGGTCTGCCTCTTTATGTGATTTGATATTGACTGTTTTCTCCTAGCCATCAATAATTTATTATATTTATTTATTTTATATTTGCTTACTTTGTCCTAGCTTCTTTTTTGTTTAGTTTTGATATGCCCAAATAGGCTGCTTGTGTGAGCTTGTTTGATTATTGGCACCTTTGAAGCTCTAACGTCCTGTCACCAGGTGGTTAGATCTGTTACTGAGTATGTGAGCACAGGATTCCATTTACTTTTCTTGTATGGATTCAGCTCAGGCATCCAGGTAGTCGGTCACCAAGTGTATGGTGCAGGCTCTCACCTACAGTCCTAGACTGGTGTGGGTGATTGGTGTAGGCACAGGTGTCTGTCTGCAGTAAGGGGTCATGTGCTGAGCAATGCAGGGGGCTGATGGCTGCCCCTGAGTGTCTAGGAGGAAAGCCTGTCCCTGTTCCCTCAAATGCGTAGGTGGGTGGGTTTTGCAGCCTGACTATGTGCCCCTAGTGCAGTTGGCTATAAGGACTGGGGGGCATCACTTATTCTTGGACACCTGTCACAGGTGGTTAGGTAGTGTGGGTGGAGCCACCAGTCCTCAGGCCTCTGATGTGCGTAGGTGAAGACACTGCTTAATGGGCAGAGCAGTATCAACCGTCACAAACCTTCTACTTCACAGCTGAAACAGTTGAAGTTAGACTTCAGGTATATACCCTGTTGTACTGTGGTAATGAGGGCCTATGCCATTGAAATGGGTCTGCACAAGTCTATGCAGGAGTAAAAGGCACTCAAAGTCCATGGATCCCTTATGCCTGTGCTTTGGCAAAGGAGATGTGCCTATCCTGAGTTCTTGGCTTAGGGGAGCTGACAGATTATTTTTCCCCTATTTGTTAATTTGTACCCTCTCCAAGGCCAGGAGAGTAGCTCAGGGTGCGTGATGGGTCCTACTTCTGGCCAAGAGGACTCAGCAATTGCTGAAGCCATCCCAGACCCAGTGCAGAGGCAGGGAGCGGGGAGGTAAATGGGAGAGATGTTTTTCCCAAAAGGGGGTGTTTTTGATCTGCACAGTAGGCCAGAGAGAAGTACTTATCTTTCTCCAATCAAGTGCTACTTTTCACTGATTCTGGATGGCCAAGTAGACTCTCTGCTGCTGAG